CGAATCGGCGGTTTGACGAACAGTGCGTTTGACGATTGGTTAACATTGAATGACTCAATCAGCTATAAGACAAAACTTGATATTCCATGGAGGAAAATGTTGGTAGCTCAGGTAGGGTAGGTGGTAGCTGGTTTATTCACTGAGCTGGGCAATTCGATTGCAAACGTTTCATCACCAATCGAGGTGACGTAATCAGTGCGTTATTGGGGAGCGTAGTTGCGCGTAGCAGTGGGTTAGTGGTGATAATTCCCAGCAAGTGCATCCCCTCTGTCTATTAACGGTGGCGTGTGTCTGGATACACAGCCGCTGGATTTTTTGGCATCCCGTTATCGGACATATATGCATCTACAACCTCAAGTGCAAACCAATTTGCTTTTAACGGAAGGCTCAACAGAATCCAACAGAATCTCTTCGTTGGTATCTTCTTCATCAACTGATTGTGAAGCATAAGACTAACTCGTGTTTCATCTAGTATAGTGTTGGAGATGGGACAGTTTATGTCCCTGTTCGTAAGGTTGCTGCTAAGGGGTATCCTGCAAGTTTATGAGTAGTGCTCCGTTGATGGTGTGCCTTTCCTTGCCGGCGACATTTTCGAATTCTTCGTAATCTGGTCCATCTTTTTTCAGCACTAAAAGAACTTTATTGCTAAAGAAAACTACCTGTTTTATTTATTTTAAACCCACGCATTGTGGCACCAGCCATGGAAACAACATAGTTGTGCTAGCGAGCTTACAATAAGAAGGCATCATACACCGTAATCTCATACTTTATGATGAAAATGGTCTTACTTCAAGGGTAATGGATTTCGCGAGGTTTTCGGGCTTTATAGCTGTTTATATCAAGTAAACTGGTATTTTTTTTTGAAGGTTCAGTTTGTCTGTTGCGCGAACGACTTCGGAATATCGATCACGCTCTTGCATAAGATATTTATAGTGGAGCCATGTGCTTATGGAAAGGACAGCTGAACCTTGAAACATCTACCGGAGGCATCTACCTGCCTTCAGTACAGTTGTGGACCAGGCATCAATTGCATCCCATCACACATCGCCTCGCCTGACCACACGACGACAAGAGATTCTTCTAGAGGCTTCAGATAAAACTACCTTAATGTCGGTTTACCTCATTTATTACGTCCAGATTGCTACTTTTACCAGTCACAGCGCCTAAAAACTTCATTGGCACCGACTCAGGTGGAATGGAAGTCTTCCCGCATCGGTTGTCCGAAGTTTTACACACGTAGTTAGAAGAGAAAAGAACAGATTTATGCTGCGCACATTCCAATCACTGATTGAGTAACAACTGTGTGTCTTCAACAGTTAACTGAACATCATATCTATTCAAATAAGCAACAAAAATCTTTTCAACTAACCAATAATTTTGCTCAGCTTCGCATGCTGAGCCTTTCGACGTGTGATTTCTACAACACATGAGATTAGTGCTCTCTCCGGAGTTGAGTGGCAATCTTACTCACCCAGAGCACTAAAATAAGGGAGTGATGTTTTGGTTTTTTTTCTTTGGGGCCCCGTAGTGGCTGACCTTCATGTATAGAATCCTAATCAAATAATTTCGGTACACATGATTTGGTTTCTCCAAATTGAAATACGTCTGCTTGATTGCTCTGCACAATTCTAGCACTGTGTACAACCAAACACAGACGAATTCCGTGGACAGATTTACAGGTTCCTCAAGGACAGATTCGCATTTTACGCTATGGCGCTGCCAGAACCCGTAAATTAGATGCCATATGCTGTGAAGGTATCGATAACCTGATTTCCTCTCTACCATGCTAACATTTCTGTACATTGTGTGCATCTAACACACAGTGGTTCAGCTTACAACAGCACACCTGTTTCTTTGAGTACAGAAGTTGAAAGGGATCTCCAGTACTCATGCTCTCGCTTCCCTCCAGTCCTGGCACCCGTGCCATGCCATGTTGATCCTGTGACAGAACGACTGAGTGATGCATGTAGGCAGCTGACTGGGATCGCAAAGATCGGCACACCAAAGAAGCACCGCTGGTCACTCAAACAGCAGACAATTTGGAACTGACGAGACCAGTGGGTCTTATGCTACCAGTTGTGTTACCAGACCTAATAGGTGGTCCTCCTCACGCCTCACGTCACACCAGGTGTAGGGTCCAGGTAAAGACGCGATGACATGCGGCAGTGGCGCTACGGTGGCAAGTGGTATGCAAGCTCAGGAAGGCTATATTAGCCAATGGACTGACGTTGCGATGAGCTCAGTGTTTACAGTGCAGTCCGGGAAGCCGTCCTTACTGAAACCAGACAGATTATTCATGCCTAAATCTGCAGGAGGCAAGGTCACCGTTAATACATTCCCGGTTTCAGATAGGAAGGATTTTTCTTATCAGAGTGTTTTTCTGTTGTAAAACATCAATCTACGTGGAAAAAAGTTTCTTGCTGCACACTTTTCTCGTTCGGAGGCGGCATAAATCACCGGCGGCGTCTATTTTTTATAGCAACATGAACGAGATACTGTCAGACCAACACTTTCAGAGAATTTTTAGGAAATTGTCCTGTGTGCACTACTGAGCGTAGAAGCTCTCCAGATAAAACGTGTACCGAAGACATGTCAGTTCCGTTTGCCACAGGGCACGAGGCTTGAGTAGCTCATCACTCGTACAAGAATTCCCTTTTTCTAGGACCGTCTGGTCTACCAGCGCACTGTTAATCCGATGTTCCCAAGAGACCTAAACAATGCTCTGAAGATATCGATGGCTGAATACGAACAACTCCGATACGTCTTCCTCTGCCCCGAATCCGAGTTTTTGACAACTATAGAGATATGAATCTCAGTGATACGATGTTTACCCAATCGCCGATATGCAAACCGACGTTTATAAGTGATACGGCGTTTTCCAGCAAGTCTTAGCCATGGACAGAACCTTGATTATTTCGATCATCGTTTAAGAAAACAAATACGTTGCATGGTCCTTGGCTGAGTTGTGACCAGTAAGCAAGCAGGTAGGCTTTACTCTTTGGTTAATTGTACGACAACAGTCTTGATGACCTCAACTGGCACAATTCAAATCACAGTAGGTAACTTTGTTGCGGCACCACAGTTTCATCCCCAAAGTCGGTACGAAGACCGAAGTCAGGTCGGACTGCAGAACCCTTATTAAGAGCAATCAAAATGCCGGTGGGTTCGCTCAGGGGTTCCTTCTCAATACTGAAACGAGCTTCAAAGCCACAAAAAGCGATGATCAGCTCACTCCCTTCCATGAACTAGATGACTTGGAGAGATCAAGAAGTGACGATTCATTAAGTTGCTTGCCTCTCAACAACGACGAATTTCCCCTCCATAAAACTATTCTTCACAAAAACGAAGAGATTTTCAGCCTTTATTTTTTAAGTTTGTTGCGGGAAAAAACTGACCAAAATCTTACTAAAATCACCGAATCAACTTAATAATTCAATCACCTTTAACAGAAACGGATTTCACCGCTATTCAACCGGTACTGGCTTGCACAAAATCAGTCTGGATCAAAACTTTACGGCACTTTTTCGCGAGCAACAGAAAGGCCTCACGTACGGACCATCCGTATTGCGATGTGAAGATGATGGGTCTCTCTGTTACTTAGATGAATTATCGGTCCGCTAGTAATTGCGGAGGAACTTATGTCAACAGAGCAAACAAACGTTAATCTGAACCCTTGAAAAGAACTACACTACGATGCCTCCTCCGAGCAAAGAACAAGAGTCACGGGGAGATCTTGTGTTAGGCCATCAATCTGCTTCTCGGTTTGCTACATCCTCTTTGCAAGCTGGCCCGGAAGTATCGAAAGGCTGTACCATACCACAAGAATGAAAGAAATGTTTCTAACAGCCTGACCATGATATACCACAAGAATGAAAGAAATGTTTCTAAAGAAATGTTTCTATCAAAGTCAATCAGCCATTTCCATATGGAAAACCACTCACAAGGTTGCTGAAAGCTATTCGAGAACCTATAACTGGTTTCGCTATTCTTGGAAACTCAAATAAGAGCAAATTTGTGCATTCGTTGAATTTGGTGTAATTTTAGTTCAAGTAGAAACATAAGATTGGCCGAAACTCGGAGAGTGCACCAATCGGACGAGTCCCAAGAAGAGCGAAACCGGTCGTGGGCTGTCAAACAGTTCTCAGAAACATTGTGAGCAGTTTCTTTCAAGAAAATATACTGCGAAATCTCAAACATCGTACCAACTAAAACGTCAGGAGGCCTTTATGCAGCACATTCAGTTGAAGAATTTCAAAACCGAGAGACTCAGCTGTGTTTCGGGTGAGTCTCCCATGAAAACCAAATTAGTATGCAAACGGGTGTATTTGTCCAATGAGCCTGCTGTTGTTGTGTGCACAGAAAATTTTGAAGCATTGCCTTTGTTTGTGATGGTTTTGCCCAAGTAACATCAGCCAGGCTACCAACCCAGACGTCACGTTTATTTCTCCCATTTCATCTTGCATTTGAGTAGATTAAAAGGAAGGCCAATATTTTACCACGTATTCTGCCTGTACTGGTACGCTGGACAAACTGAACCCCTTGCACTGACCTAATGAGAGTCAAAGATTTGTTGAGAATCACAAAAGAATGGAACAACAGGCACTAAAAATTACCAATAAACCTTAGGACCCAGTTTTGAGTTTAACCGGCTGGGACGGGAATCGTGGGCTATCTGAATAAAGCAGGCTGAGGTAACCGATTCGTCTGGGGTTACAACTTCTAGGTGTTACGTTGTAAGATGCTATCAAACGCATAAATTCCATGCTTCAGGAGAGCTTCATTGTTCATAGGGTGGTACTGTTAACTATTCATCTTTGGAAAATAAACTAACCACTTGGCGTGTCTATCCGAGTCATTTGGCAGTTATGTGAACATAATCATATTTCCGAAGTCACGTAGGCAAACTTTGGATACTCTCAGGTTTTTTTTACATTTCGCGAAAATTTTACCATTTGCCACACTCATGTGCACATGTGCTATTTTAACTTGTTTTATAACAGATTCATGTGCCCTGGGAAATAAAAAACCAGGGAAGTCAATACTCAGGCCTGCGAAGCCGGTCATTATTCCACAAAATGCAATTGGTCCCACATATTTTACGGATGGATCTGAAATAGATGTCTCAAGTCCGCGCCAGTTAATATCCCAATACGACTTTCGTAGCCTCATCTACCAAGATCAATACTTGGGCAAGCTTGGAAGCACCAAGCTCACTGTGCGTTACTGCTTCCCGTGTCGTTCTATTCGTCTTCATCTGAGTGGTATTTGTTCCAAGTGTAACCGGCCGCATTCAGTCACCAACACGGAATTCCTGTTGCCAAAAGCTGTGGAACGCTACGGCTTATCGAATTATCTGCTGAGTGACATGACGGAGCTTCTTAGTAGCGCGGCCACAGGACTTAGTGAATTTGCCCAACCATCCTCGTCAGATGACGATCAGGTGGAACTCAGAGGCCACACAAACAACCACCAGGATTTTCCGTCGAACATGATACAGCAACCCCCCCATGAGCTAGCCAAAAATGAGACTACGGATAAAGTATATGCTACGGAGTACAACGATCCTGTCCTCAGCCACCTGGTAAAACCGGATCACGCGGACGATATTTTCCTTTCTTCATCGACCTCAGGTAAGGTTAATTTTATAATAACAGTTGCTGGCATCAGCGAAAAAATAATACTGTTTGTCGTTTGTCATGAATCACTCAGACAACGTATTCCACAATCTGAATCAGTACACACGTTGTTGTTTATTTGACTTAAGTTCGTATATAGAAGATATGCACCAAACATTTGCCAAGGAATAGCAAAAAACGCTTTGTTTTAACAGTTCAGGTACACATGTGATCACTACTTCCACGGTATCCTAGCACCGAATAAATGTGAATGAAGCATTCCCCAAAACAAGTTTTCCCGGTCTTTTCCACGAAAACCCACGAGTGTTTCACTAGACTAATTAAGTGGCTTAGGAATGGCTGGTAGTCATACTGGAGAAGTTTGCTCGTATTTCGCCAGGCTGAAATCTACTGCTAATGATACAGGGCTCCGACGAGATGTCTCACTCCCAGAAGAGTTCGTCTGTGGTTGATCATTTTGGTAAGTTTGGAGATAACCTCTGGATTAGTGACAATCGTGGTAGGATAAATGGTCTCCTGTATTATCCGGTACAGCGGTCGTTTCATAACAGGAAGGAGATGGTGAATATGAATTTATTTTCCAGTTGGATTCACGTTGCTCAGCTGTTCTGGCATACATGTATTCGACTGTATCGACTGGATCGTGGTTTGTGTAGCTCGAAGAAGCAACTGAGCGTAGAAATCTTCAGTCTTCAGGAGGGATTCATTCAGATCAGTCGTCAGGCATAAGAAAGAAACCAGTGAACGTACTTTCGTTTTTGTTCTTGATAATTAAGCCGAATTGGCAGAGCCGTTTGAAAGATACCGACACGTGGATCAAGAACAGTTGTGGTTAACACTTTAAGAAAGAGTCTAAAAGAAGTCAGATAAATTTGTAAGTAGACATTGATCCTGAATCGAAGATCCGAAGCATTAACTGCGGGTTTGTTGAACACTGTCATTAACAAGATAGGTCCAGTTTGTTGCGAAAACTCTGAAACTTGTCACCAGATTATAAAAGCTTCATTTTGTGCTTCTTATTTCCGCGCATATTTGTTGAATTTTAGTTGCTCACCTTTGTCGTACTATTTGTTTCAACAAAAAGCCATTCAATAAAGCCATGTTTCTATAGGATCCATGGGAAGTGAGACCGACAAGCGACTCGGAAGTTCAACATATACCAGACCGAAGCTCCCCTGGGCTTTGACTAATCAACAAGCTTCTGGATCACCGCGTGGTAAGATTCTACCCTTCTATCCGCAGCAAAACACAACAGTGCCCCATCAACACTTGCAAAATTACGATGGCCTACCTGACACACAAAATTTAATTTCGGTAAGTACTTTTTAAAATTTAAACTAAAGATTGATGTGGTAGCATTTTTCAGATCGATTTAGCAGGCGAAATTAAGAATCATTCCTTACTGGCAACATACTTTAGTTCTACCCACGTCCCAAGTTCACCTGTTCTGTTGACAATATTTCTGGCGGATTTACCTTCCAAGGTCACTGGACTGCAGTATAATATAGGACTTTGATGAAGTCAGTCACACTGAGGGTTTTGTGAACATAAAACTGGATAACAAATATGGGGGATCGTAGAGGAACACACTCATTTGCAAAACATTTTGCCTTTGGGGCAAGTCTACCTGGAACCCAGCTGAATCTCACTTATGGTGTTTTCGTGTGCCCAGCAGATGAGCCCCAAGAAGAGCGAAACCGGTCATGAGCTATCAACGAGTCTTCAGCAACCTTATGATTGATGTGTGGGTCATCATACTTCTTCAAAGTGTTTGGAACAGGACTAGCAGTGTCATCCTTCTCACAGTGGACTGTATTCAACTGGATTGAGATTAGTTGAGGTAGTTTTATAAGTTGTGATATACTCAGATCTCAGTCACAGTTTGAAAATGTCGGTCACCAATTTGGTAGCCCGATGACATCGATTGGAGAAGCCCTGTATGAATAAACAGAACCTGTTGGATGTATCATCCTTTGGTGGGTACATATCTCAAACATATTTAGTCAGATGAGAAGTTGAGTCACGCTTAATAATCTAAAAGATGTTATTGAAGTTAGAGTTGTTGCCCGAACCAATACGGGGTTGAAAAACCATACTGTATTCTAAACGATCATCGCAGAAGATAAATCTATTTGAATACAAGAATCAGACATTGAAATTTTTGTTACTGATCTCTGGTATGGGCTGATTTCTTCAGTCAGTCTGCTCATCCACGATTCAACGTTGTATGCCTCTCCGAAAGCTTCCTGTTCTTTTGAAGATGATGAATTCAGCGTCGGAAAAGAGTTGAGGTTGAATCTCTTAACTGCGTTTTTCAAAAGCATCATTACAGTTTGTAAATAACGAACAAATCGTTCCTTATTCCCTCTTCATACTCGAGCTTTATTATGTACATGAGAACTACAAATCACTTAGTGCGTTCATAGTTGTGGACAACCCTCTGAGTGTAATCTTTTCAAAAGAACTGCGGTTTACACGACATGAGCTGTCCTGTAGTTAACCGCGCCTTTTGTGGAATTTGGATTGGGGGGATCGATCAAAAATGGTCGATATTTCCCAGTAAGTCAAACATAAATTAACAGTTTGAGGTTAGAGGCCTAATAACATATCCCACCAGTACGACTGAAGGCAGAGATTTAAGGTTGTGTGTCACAGCAAGCACCATTCTTCATGGAAATTCACACATCTCATCGATATAAAAAACGTGAACCAATTTGGTAACTGAATGAAAGCTTCCTGTACCAGGGAGTCAGAACACATCCACCTTCACCTGGCTTTATCCGCTTTGATGTACTCACTGATAGATTAGGGTTTTTTTTCATTCAATGCATTTCACGTCTTCTGACAACTTTCTGTTTCCAGTATGAAGATGGTTGAATTCATCAGGCAGAATAGACACTTTACCACTCTCCATATAGGCCTTAGATAAGATGAGAAAATCCATTGGTTCGGATGTAAATGGATTCAGTGCGGCAGCGTACATCGAAATAAAAGTCGAGATAGTTGATCAGATGGATAACAGCGAAACGGGATTCAGGAAGCGGAATGCCTATAGAAAGGCTGGTGACGCCTAACGAAGCAGCGTAAATTCAACTTCCTAGCTATATTGACCAGAATGCTTCTGGTCTGCATCTAATTTGTTGTTAATTACAGATTATTTTGCAGACAAAATCTAAAGCACCCAATGCTAATGGTTGCGGTTTTCATATTCATTTGTTCTGCCTCTCAATTAACAGTTACATTCCCCCTTCCACAACGTGCGCCGCCTAATCCTGGATCAGATGCTCGATGTGTATACTTTAAAATTCTACCTAGAAAGGTGTCTTTTAATTTCATCAATTAGAAGACTAACTGATATGAAAGTAGGTACTAGATGAACACAACTAAAACTCCTCGAAACCGCTAGATTCTCGGACCATTTGGCATAACCATTTGGGACCACATAAACACTCGGAAGTTTAGGACCAATATATACAGACCTCCCTCACTTGTTTTAAGGTGCGCATTTTTGTTATTGCTCCGGTCATTTGCTACTCATGAATACCAAGTTTCGACGCGTTATAACGTCCCATCATACTTTAGGTTGATCTTCCCTCACCTAGGTTCTTCATCCTATTTTCACACGCAGACCCAGAGGTCTGTGACACATTTTGCACATCCTACTGACTCTGATTTCAAATTCGCTAAGAAGTTTTCAAAGGTTTATCGATTAAAAATCATCACCGTATTAGTTTTACATCGGAGAAGAGAGCAACTTTAGTTATTTTGTATAGGAACTAGAACCGATGCTAGTCATATTCACTAGGGCCACCTAACTTTATAGTCTTATCCCCTTGTAGTGTCGTCAGGAAACGCATAGTGTGGTATTTACCAAAAGGCCTTTAGATTATTCCCATCCACCTCGCTACATAATGAAATACGTGAGAACAGATTCATTAAATATAACCAAAACTCCTGATAAACCATTTGATTTCTCGTCATCTTGATCTCCAGATATTCCGGCCCGCATGAAATGCACTAACAAAAAATCGAATGGATCAAGCACCTTGTTGTATAAAGTCTGAAGCACGATGCTTCATAAAACGTATGCAATCTTTTGAAAGGGGACAGTTCGAAAATATGGTGTAAATACAAGATGCTATCTTATGTCTGGTTCATTTAAGCAAAATTTATGGATATTAACAAAGATTTCATACCACCTTCTTCGAAGAATGACCTACTGGATGTCAAGCTTCGTCCCAGGAAGCCAGGTCTAATCATATGCATTGTCAGTTGCTGTTAGACGCGTCCAGTATCTCTGTGGACGGTCCCATTGATTGGCGAGTAGTCTTACGTCACATCAAGTATTTGCTCACATGCAGGTGGCCGGATGCGGCAAAGTGACCTTAACATCAACTTGTGGCGTGATTAGCAAAAACGTCGATTTTCTAGGTCACTGAACGATGAAACTGTGCATCGAAATTTATCTTCCCAAAGTATCTTCAACGTATCCTGAACAATCGTCTCGGACATATTCGTGAGGCACATTCAGTTTTGTTCTGAGTATATTGTTATGAACTGTGCCTTTTAAAATTAGGACGTTTACTGTGCAGATCAATAGTCAGGGTGAAATTGAAATACCAATCTATGAAATTCATCAAGAAATAAGGAATTACATCATACCCCGCATCCTACGCATTATGCGTACACCCTTCGGTTTCAGATTTCAAACTCACGACGATAAGGTATTCTTCATCTGAGTGTTAAGTACTCATAAATTATAGAACGCTGATGACAGAGAGTTGGCTAAATGACCCACTCTCTGTCAGATATCCAGAATAGCAGTCATCGCAGATTCTACGTTCAGATGGCAAATGGTTTGACTATTGGATTCTCCTGGATATCTCCACCAGTACTCGCATTGCCTTCTGCGATACCTTGACTGCTTGCATGTTGCAACATCTACCTCATACTGTAGATTTGTGAAGAGGCAAAACTAACTGCTCCTAATTGTCAAGAGGAGTATGCACATATGCACTAGTTGAAGGATGAATGAATACAGATCACGCCGAGGGACTGCGTCGGTGTTTACTACAGTCTGATTTTGCCACACTAGACACAAGTTGTTGTTCTCAGTAGATATTCAGAAAGTCCCAACACTAGTTAAGAAAGTTGTTGTGAGAATCACATAGTTGGAACATCCCGTTGAAGAAAAAAAGCCCTGAGAGCTAGTTACATTCCGACTTTTCGTTTTCGAGCCGGAAAAATTTGAAAACGTCAACTGCACCAGCCTACGCACGGGTTCATTTAAAATCGTGTCAGGTGACTGCCAACTGCAGAATTCTGCCAAGCGAAGTCCATACGAAAAACGGATCTGTATCGTGCCTTGGAGCATGTTAAACAAGATGTCGTCTGGAGAGCACCTACCTTGAATTTAGTGCATTCGAATCTCAATCGAAATCTCTTTCTGCATGTAAAGTCAATCTGTGCCAAAAGGGCACTGTACAGCTGTTCCATCTTTATTGTGAATCATCGGAAGCACAAAATTCGAAACTTCTACCTCCAGTCTAGTGGTTGAACAATAAGCTGTTGGCCACGAGAAGTCAATTATCAGTTTGACCAATACGCATCCAGTCCTAGAACAGTAAGTTCTCCGGCGCGTTCTCCGGCCAAACCATGTTTATTAGCTTGATTAAGTCACCACTGGTTCTCACAGATTATCGCACCAGAACCCAATCAATTAGCGGTATTTCTACTGTATAAACAGAAATAAAACTAGTTGAATAAGTATATCTTTTTGATGTACTACTTATAAGGTCGCTGAAAATCCGTCAACAACCTACGACTGGTTTCGCCCTTTTTGGAACTCACTAGGTAGGCGCAGTCCCCAGGTTTCCGTCATCCTTATGTTCTACTTGAAACCAGATTGCAAGAAATTAGCGAATATACACTCATTTGCAAAATAATCTGGCTTTTCGGGAGACTCACTTGGAACCCAGCTGAATCTCTCGTTTGTGATGTTTTTAGGCAAAAGAAGTATCTTTCTCACCTCACTAGTGAAAAAATGAGATAGTAAACTAAACGGGAACGACAGAATTGTGCAATGTTCTATACTCTCATTAAGGAACTCTGGCAAAAAAATTGGTGACAATCGGTAGATTTGTTGCTGGGCAACGTTTCGCTTTTGACACAAAAGCTTCGTCAAGCCAAGTGACTAGATTTCGACGTTGGTCGAGATTTAAGGCGAAAGGAGAACCAATCAGCAAAGTCAAGCTAATCCTCTGTTGGGTGTCGGTCGACGGATTTTTGCGTGTTAGGGTGGGTGAACAAGGGTTGGGTCGGTGGGGAAACCTACATGTGTTTTGGTCCAGCCTAGGGTCTAGTTCTTCTGGTTCGGTTCATTTGATGGTTCTTCTGAACTTCGATTGAACCTTCTGTTAGTCTACGTGGGTGAGCTACTGCTAAGAAAGATGTGTAAGAGGGATGCTGTGACCTTCGGTCGGTTGGGGTTTCCACCCCCCCCCCCCCCGGTTTTTCTAATGATCCTAAGTGGATTGACAACCACAGCGTCACGTGTCAACTCGGCTTATCTAAGATCGCTTTCCATGCGCTCGCTAGCTTCACACCCTCGATTCTATTCACGCTGTGATGCTTAGTGATTTCCACCTTCTCGGCTATCAGCCGCTGTCTACCGATTGTCATCAAACTTTTTCTAAAACGATGACTACCCAATCGGTTCCAAGTATTTTCCACGTGATTGAAATCTGGCATCATTGTGAAACAGTAAAATCAACATTAGCCTTAAAATCTTTGACGCCTACGTAACCTGAGTTACCCTTCGGCGAGCTATCCGTCAATGCCAAATAAAAAAAATCATTCGTAGACGCACGGAATGCCAGATTAGTTAACCATAATTTGTAAGCTATTCAAAAGGTGAAGTGTGTTTCTAGGACTACTGTAGATGTCTTCTTGTTCTGTGATCCAAGAGGTTTAACAGGAATGGAAAACAATTGTGCTCCATTTATTTTTTGCCTAAAGTGTCAGTTAGAAGACGGTCAGAACAGGTCAAGCATCAGTGAGCTAATCAGTGACTGGCTAGTCTTCGTATTAGAGCAAGAGTAAGTTTTTTAGACGAACGCCAGTGTTCACAGACCTACAGAATCTATGGTCTCACGCGACAAAGGCGATTCGAGAGCTTCTCCTGTTGGGTTAAATTCAGACAAAACGGCAATATTTTGGAGACGCTAAACTGGTAGATGTAGGAAGGATTTTCAATATCCATCTTCACAGTATTTTCTCCAACCACTCCCTAAGATTCACTCTCGAATGCGACCAGTATTCGCTTCTAGAATTCGCTATCATTTTGATATGAAAAACTGAAAATCTTGTTCAGTTAAGTTACTGGCGTTGAAGACAACAGGAACAATAATATTTTTATTCGACTAGAAGAACAGAGAAACATCTTTAAGCATATGTTTCGTGAAAACTATAGACTGGGTTCCCGGAGATCTGATAAAAACATTCTGTGAACGTGTTGAAAAGTGGCATTTTGTATTTTTTTAAAAACAGCAATTGGAGAAGCGAACTGTGCTTGACAAGAAGCAAAAGGATACGGACAACCACAAGGAAAGGTCACTTTCAAATTCTCCATGTGGTGTAACTGAAGACCAAGAGGTAGCGAATGTTATGCTGGGCTCGGCACACACTGCTGGACTAAATCAACGCTTATTGGCGATGTTACAACGCCGGAAAAATATACAAAGCATCTTCGAAACGAATCAGAAAATGGATACGCACAATCTCCTGAGAACCCAACCTCGTCGATCAGCAGTTGTACCCAGTTCAGCACGGACTCAGTCACAACAACCAATTTCACGTTTATCAGAAGGATTGAACTCGGAACGAAGACGAGATTCATCCCTCTTAACGCTCCGCACAACCAGCCAGAACAGAAATTTGAGTTCCAGGTATGAATGTTCCAAACTGATTAATTGCGACAGATGTTTTTTCTCTCGAAAAGACCTCTGTCTTTTAAGCCACTCTTCAAGTTCCCGAAATCTGACTAGTCAATAATCGTGCCCAGTCAAAGGCCGAATGCGCTCCTTAAACTAGCGTGCGGCGACTCTCGATTTAATGGGTGGATCATGACAGATCTAACAAAATTTCTATGGAAAGTTCGTGTGGTCTACTGACCTTCAACTCATCTGACCGAATTCGGTGTGAACCCAAGGGACAGCTGATTGAAATTCGATATTTATACCACTTATTAAGTTATGGGCGGCTTCTGGAAGCGTTCACTGTCGTCCGCTTGTCTACAAATCACACATGATGTTGGTTGTGAGCAGACAAGGTTCGTGTTTACTAGGGGCCTGCTGGTTTTTGCTGCGTATAAGCACTTATTTGTTACCACCAGGTGTGAAAACACTTAGTCGTTGTCAAAAAAGTTTGGTGACAATTGGTAGAACTTTCTGTCCGTCTTAGTGCGCGAGCAGATGCTAGGATAGTTGTGTAAGTGGTATGCTGTGATCTTTAGTCGGGTTGGGATTTCCACCCCCACCCCCAGTTTTTATTAATGACTCGAGGAGAATCGACAACCACACAGTCATGTATCAACTTGCCTTATCTAAGACCGCTTTCAATCAATTGGGAAAAGTTTGGAGCCGATTGAGAAGTCATCGTTTCAGAAGAGCTTGGTAAACAATCGGTAGTTTTCTTTTGAGCAACGTTTCGCTTTTGACACAAAAGCTTCATCAGGCCAAGTGAA